ATTTTTTTTCCGGGCTGGGGGAAATAGGGCAAAAAAAAAAAAATCCCAATGAGGCATTTTTTTTTTTTTTTTTTTTTTTTTTTTTGGTGGGCAAAGGTATTCAACTCTCTAATTTATTAGTTTTTTCAGAACTATTACTCACCATAATTACAGCGGCAAGTCTTTTAGGAAAAAGTCCATACCAGTTTTCCACATCGAGAGATTAAAATTTTTGCCTATTCTTAAATTTTAAAGGCTAAAATGTGTTTTTTTTTATTAAAGTTGCATTGTGCCATTTAGAAGCAGTAAATCTGCTCTGCTGAGCCTGCGCTCTTTTAATACACTCTGTTTATAGATTTACTTGTTAATGTTTAACATTCCTTTTGGGCTATTGTCCTGCGCTTTAAAACTTTAACCAGCTCTGTGGCTATCACTGATAGTCTTTCACTCGAAACGCCGTTAAAAACTTCCATTTTATTCTGAGTCAGACTAAGTATTTTCAAGTTGAAACCCTGCTGTTGACATTTCAGGTGCTGTTGCACTGCATGTGTGGATGTAGTCTGGTGCTTGCCTGTTGTCAGCAAGGTGCTTGTTGTCATGCCAACCTGGGCAAAACTGTTTCCAGAAACTCTAACACGCATTACTGAGGACACATCTTCTTCCCTATGCATTTGTTTGTCGACACATAACAGCTTACTATAACCTTGCAGGAACAGGGAATACTATTTGTAGTTTGTGACCTTCAGACACCTGATTAAACAAGCAGTCAGAGAGGAAGCAGAGCTGGTTTTAAAACAATATCAGGTTGGCAGGAGGAGCAGGAAGTTGGTTCTCTGTTATAAATGTATAGAAAGGAAATGGATTCCCAGAGGTTAATTTATTGTTGCATAATGGGTCATTTTTAGTTGTGACTGAGGATTTTAGATCTACAGAAACAATGTGATCTGAAAGATTTGAGCCATTTGTGAGTCTGGTAAGGGCTTTAAGGAGGTCTCAAGAACTTGAAATCAGCCATTCCGCTGTATGGAAAGTACTCTACAGGTGGAGGGATTTCAAAATAAAAGCGGTCTGCGTTCACCCTGAGAGCAGACGGTAAGAGTCTGAAAGAAAAACACTCGAATGTCAAAGAATCTTGGAGAAACGGCGAAATACCTTAACTGCCGCCCGACTAAAAAGCCACGGGATAGTGAAGTAGATTCAGAAGCCAAGGGAAAGCTTCATATACAAACCCAGCTGTGATTGGCTGATTGACGGAGCGCTGACCTTTGGCACAACAATTAAATAATGTGCTGTAAACGAAGGGCGCAGGTTATCGGATGCCTTTTATTGAGCTGTAAGACCCAAGATAAAAGTTAGATGTAAGGGAGGCTTGAAGTCTTGCTGTATGTGGAACAAGGAATCTTAACTTGAACTCGATTAGTGTTTCCATACACAATTGTCCGTGATGTATAATTGTTAGCATTAACCTGTTGTAATAGCTGAGGTTGTGTTTAATTCAAAGTATTTGGATTGGATTGATTCAGAAGAAGAAATCTGCTAAATTGAAGGACTTTTTGTTCTGATGTTTAGTGATTTCTAGTTCTCCAGTGATTGGGGTGATTTTTTTTTTTTTTTTTTTTGGAGTGATGTAGATAAACCATGTGGGTGATTTTCAGAAATTCCACAGAAGCTGCGCCTCTCTTTTTCTCTGTCCCTTTGTTGCCTTCTATTCCCCTGTGTGAGCATGGAAAAGAGGTTGTACCAGTAGCTGGATTTTTAAAAAAACAAAAAAAACAAACAAAATAAATAAATACAATTGAGTGAGAAAGTGAAAGACAGCCTCCTCTTCTTCCTCCTAATCTCCCCTTTCCCCCCCTCTGACTGCCTCTCCAAACCTTGCAGTTCTGCATGCAGGAATGTGTTGCACCTTTTTGTTTTGATTGGTTGCTGTGCCGTGCTGTGTTGCGTCGTGCTGTGTTGTCCAACCCAATCTGTGTCTGAGTTACGTAAGAACTTCTATCCCCAGAGGTTTCACACGACTTCCTAGTGAAAGAGATCTTTACCTCCTTCGCTCTGACAACAGGATGTGAATTCAGTTGTCTTATAAATAAAATATTTTGTGCTCCATTTCTTCATAAAGCTGGTGAAACTAGACCTGCACCACATGATTTGTGGTAAAATCAATAATCAGTTTTATTGATTTTTAACAGCTCTTATACTGCCCCATTAATGTGCCGTAATAAAGCCATAAGCGTTACACGGAGAAATAAAACCAGAAAACTCAGATAGAAGGAGGTCAACAAAGTACAGCAGGTCACCTGACGCTGACAGAGCTGCAGCAGCCATTACGGTCTCTCTTTTACTGTGAGCATGAATCTGTCGTTTGAAAACCGACAGATTCAGTAGATCAATAAATTAATACGATGAGTTTGTGTTGCATTATTGCGAGACACGTACGCACGCATGCACAAACACACACACACACACACACACACACACCAGCAGCAGGGATTGTGAGTCTAAATAGAAACTGATTCATTTATTTTATTTTTTTTTTTTTTAATTGACTCGATTAGCAACCCGATGCGGACTCTAAGGATCTGGATCAAGAGCTTTATTTTGTTTTAAAACAGTTAAAACACCTTGGTTAAAAAAAAAAAAAGAAGAAAAATTCATAGCTAAAAATGCCAATTGAAAGCTCTTTCAGTTAAAGGAAATATTTAGTCAACATTTTACAACGAGCAGAGCACAGTCTTTGTCTTGAGTGTGCAACATTAAATATATTGACTAAATAGAGCAGGGGTGGCCAAGTCCAGTCCTCGAGAGCCGCCATCCTGCAAGTTTCAGATGCATCCCTGCTTCAACACACCTGAATCAAATGACTGGCTCGTTATCAGGCCTCTGTAGAGCTGATCCCGGTCTGTTGGAGTAAGGATACTTCTAAAACTTGCAGGATGGTGGCTCTCGAGGACTGGACTTGGCCACCCCTGAAATAGAGACTTAAAATATGATTTGCAAAAATTCTGAATAAAATCAATCACAGTTTGGGGCTTTAATATCCCTTTATTCATCTCTCCTCCTGCCTGCCTCCCGTTTTCCTACAGTATCCTATTCTCTTGGGAATCCTCCTCCTTCCCTGTTTTTGTTTGTTTCGTTTTCCCCACTTTTCTATCCCCTTTTTGAAAAAAAAACAAAACAAAAAAAACGTCTTTCTACCCTAGCAAATGTTATACTGATGTATTTCAGTTCTAATTCTAAACAGAACTACCAAATATGATATTATGCTGTTTGAAAATTAATTAATGCTGTTTTCATGCAGGTGAATTTTAGTTTTACTTGCATCAAGGTCCTTGTTTTATCACTATGGATTTAAATAATTATGCAGTGTGTACAAAAATCATGCTGTGGTAACTGTACGTTATTTATTTATTTTTTTTATTGACTTTTGAATCTCGGTGAAATGAAAGAACGAGGGGAAGCTGTACGCCAGAATAGAGCTACAGTTGAACCTCGATAAGATGCCGTCCTGCATGAGAGAGACTGAAATATATTTTCCAAGTCTGTGTGTTTTAATAATGGCTGTGGCATGTGAAACTTTAGCGTAGTTGTAATAATATTTTTGTCTTTCTGTGTTAACCCTCCTGTCGTCGCGCTTACTTTGTCCTACGCCCTTTTGACGCTCCGCTCCTCGCCTTGCAGCAAAAGCAGCGGTGCCCGGTGCTGGAGGAGCAGCTGGTGGACCTGGTGGTGTACGCCATGGAGCGGTCGGAGACGGAGGAACATTTCGACGCCGACATCGGAGGAACGAGCCAGTTACTGTGGCAACACCTCTCCTCGCAGCTCATCTTCTTTGTGTTGTTTCAGTTTGCGAGCTTCCCTCACATGGTGCTCTCCTTGCATCAGAAGGTAAGACAGTTTCTATGAGCAGAGTTGGTGCATCTTCCGCTCAGATTTTAAGGACACAGGATTGCCACAGCTGAATAGGAGAGTGAGGAAAAGAATGAAAACGGGTAGTTTTGTGCTTTTTCATGTCTTTAAGCCTCTTAGATCAGTGTGATTAATCTGAACCTGGGGTTTCTAAACTGTCTGGGTTAGATGCCAAATAAAACATTTGTCCAAGATAACAAACTGTTGCTTAAACAATCTGTCTTTAGTGCTGGATGATCCAGTCTGACAAGTCAAAGATTTTGCAAAATGTTGAAATGGAGCGGCTCTTGGGTGGTCCAGTGGCCAAAAGTGCTGAAACATAAACTTAAAATTTAATTCTACATGATACAATACAATCTGTTGGTTATGTCTTTATTCTAAAGTCTCATGAACTCTCACCAGATGAACCTGCACACCCAAGGTTAGGTGTTGTTGAGCCAGACTCTCTCCAGTGTTTAGGATTTGTTTTAGTCTTCTGTATAAAACTGTTATGTTGAATGCCTGTTGCCATCTCAGAGTCCACTCAGAATAATGCTCTAATAAATGCCGACTTAAATGGGAGCATCTCTTTAAAGACGCACTCATTTTTAATTTATGTGATTGATTTATTGCTTATAGTGACAGGCTTAGTTGATGCACAAACAGCTTTCTGTTGCTAAATGACATGAATTGGGTGAAAAATCCTACTCTTAATCATCCTTCTTTTTCTCAACCTTTCTGTCTTTGTAGCTTGCAGGCAGAGGTCTTATTAAAGGCAGAGATCACCTGATGTGGGTCCTGCTGCAGTTCATATCAGGCAGCATTCAGAAAAATGCCTTAGCTGACTTCTTGCCAGTCATGAAGCTCTTTGACCTGCTTTACCCAGAAAAAGAGGTAAACTAAAGTGAACTGGTGCACTCAGTTTGGCTTTTTTGCTGTGTGTGTTACTTTATGCATTTGATCGTAATAACTAAATGTAGCAAAAAAAAAAATTTTCTCCACATTTTCAGTGTATACCGGTTCCTGACATCAGCAAACCTCAGTCGACTCACTCCTTTGCCATGACCTGCATCTGGATCCACCTGAACCGCAAAGCTCAGAACGACAACTCCAAACTACAGATTCTCATACCGCACTCCCTGAAACTCCACCATGAGTACGTATATTTAACTCATCTGGTCCCACAGTGGAATTGCCGCTCTTAGTTTATCAGTAGTTTACTCATTGTCATCGTCTTCGTCTCAGGTTTCTCCAGCAGTCGCTGCGTAACAAAAGCCTGGGCATGTCCGACTACAAGATCGCCTTGCTGTGCAACGCCTACAGCACCAACTCCGACTGCTTCTCACTGCCGATGGGCGTCCTGGTGGAGACCATCTACGGAAACGGGTCCATGAGGATCAACCTGCCCGGCACCAGCTGCATGGCGTCAGGATCCGTCACTCCGCTGCCCATGAACCTGCTGGATTCTCTCACTGTGCACGCGAAAATGAGGTAGTAGAGAAAGGAAGGGAGAGAGCAGTTCATTTGAGCCGAAGCGGTTTATCTTTAACGCATGCGTCCGCCGGGTTTGTTTTCAGCCTGATCCACAGCATCGCCACGCGTGTGATCAAACTGGCTCACGCCAAGTCCAGCGTCGCCCTGGCTCCGGCGCTGGTGGAAACGTACAGCAGGCTTTTGGTCTACATGGAGATCGAGTCACTGGGCATCAAGGGATTCATCAGTAAGTGTTTGCTTATGTTTTGACGTAGGACGAACTTACAAAGAATGTTTGAAGAATCCAGGAAAACACGTTTGACGAACCAGTGCGCAAAAACCTTGCGAACGTATCCATGCCGCTTAAATTTCTGAACGTTTTTCACCGGTACTTTTTGCGCTGAAATAAATGTCGGTATGCGGAAACGTTACAAAACTTCCCTGTCCAGGTCAGTTGCTGCCCAACGTGTTCAAGTCTCACGCGTGGGGGATCCTTCACACGCTGCTGGAGATGTTCAGCTACAGGATGCATCACATCCAGCCGCACTACAGGGTTCAGCTCCTCAGCCATCTACACAGCCTGGCTGCCGTGCCCCAGACCAACCAGAATCAGCTGCATCTCTGGTAACCTCAATGCAAGAAAGAAATGGTTGTTCTACACCCTGCGGGTTCAAATTCTTAAGTAAAAAACTGGAACAATTAACCAGGAAGACAGTGTTGTGAAAGAGCATGTAATAAAAACGAAAACCGCAAGAGAGATGCAGTTAATTAGGTTGCAGGATAAAGAAAAAATATATGCAAATTAAAAATTAACATTTTCATATGTTTCCCAAGGTTTAATTCTAAGGATCCCTGGTTTTGTTTTGCTGTTTCTTTTTGTATATCTAGTAATGATATTCGTAAAGTCTCCATGTTACTGCCATTTGTTCTGTTTGGAAATGACACAACTGATAATAATGTGAAAAGGATTTGCGTCGTCTTTTATTTTCTTACTATGTACGATGTAGTAGTAATAGCGAGGGTGTGTATCTGATTGTGCTCAAAGTTTGTTTTGTTCGTTTTTTTTGTTGTTTTTTTTTACTCATAACTTTATAGAAACCGAGATTTGTGTCTCTTTCCTCAGCGTCGAGAGCACCGCCCTGCGGCTCATCACGGCGCTGGGGAGTTCAGAGGTCCAACCTCAGTTCACCCGCTTCCTCAACGACCCGAAGACCGTCCTCTCTGCCGAGTCAGAGGAGCTGAACCGAGCTTTGATACTGACGCTGGCCAGGGCCACGCATGTGACTGGTACTTTCCAGTAGACTTCGTTTTTAGATCCGTTTTGTTTTGGTTTCAGCTTCATTTATTCTGCCACGCTTCCTCAGCTGAAAAGCCGCCCGCTCTGTACCTTCTGCAGATTTTTTCACCGGCTCCGACTCCATTCATGGCACCTGGTGTAAAGACATCCTCCAGACCATCATGAGTTTTACGCCTCACAACTGGGCGTCTCACACTCTGTCCTGCTTCCCAGCTCCTCTGCAGGTGCCACGCGTTTACCTCTGCAGGCACGACATGGATTAAAAACGACAGATTTATTCATTTTGTTTTTATTAAAGTATTCCTCTGTTTGCCATGCAGGCGTTCTTCAAGCAGAACAATGTTCCTCAGGAGTCTCGCTTCAACCTGAAGAAGAACGTGGAGGAGGAGTACAGGAAGTGGAAGTCGATGGCCAATGAGAATGACATCATCACCCACTTCTCAATGCAGGGCTCTCCTCCCTTGTTCCTGTGTCTGCTGTGGAAGATGCTCCTGGAGACGGATCGCATAAACCAGATAGGATTCAGGTCTGGAGACGCTGCTTTGTACTATGAGAGAGGATGGTGTCATGATTTATTTATTTAATGTTTTTTAAACCTTGATCAGGGTTTTGGAGCGAATCGGAGCTCGTGCGCTGGTGGCCCACGTCCGAACATTCGCCGACTTTCTTGTCTACGAGTTCTCGACTTCGGCTGGCGGACAGCAGCTCAACAAGTGCATCGAAATCCTGAACGACATGGTCTGGAAATACAACATCGTCACTCTGGACAGACTCATCCTGTGTCTGGTGAGAACATCTACAGAAACTCGGCATCGCTGATGCTCCTCTTTGGTTCAGTGTTCTTCATTAGCGGTGTTTTCTTCCAGGCGATGCGAAGCCACGAGGGGAACGAGGCTCAGGTCTGTTACTTCATCATCCAGCTCCTTCTGTTGAAGCCGAGCGACTTCAGGAACCGAGTCAACGACTTTGTGAAGGAGAACGCTCCTGAGCACTGGCTGCAGAGCGACTGGCACAGCAAACACATGAACTACCACAAGGTGTCTTTTATTTATTTATTTTATTCTTCTTAAAAGATTTTATGTCAAAATATTGAGTGTTTTCAGGTTTAAATGGGTCTGGAAAAAGAAAAAGGACTGTGGAAAATGATTGATTCTATCATTTTTCTTAACGAATTCTCTACATGTTTTCCTAAATGTTTGTGGGTTCATTTGTCAGTCCATCTCGTCCAATCTATAAAGATCCTTTTTTGTTTAATCCAATTAAGCGATAATCAATTTAATCAATTTCTAAAATGATTATTAGTTGCCGTCCTAGTCATGGGCTTTGAAAAAGATTTCCAAAAGTCTAAAATGTAACTCACTTAAACCTGCAGATATCTCTCTCCTTCCACTTTGCCACAGTTTGTAGCCTGTCAGGGTATTTCCTGACTGTCGACCAAAATTGAGTTTGAGAAAGTAATGCTGACAGGGAAAAACCTTCGTTTCATTGCCAGAAATACCCTGAGAAGCTGTACTTTGAGGGTCTTGCAGAACAAGTGAGCCCTCCCCTGCAGCTGCAGTCTCAGTACCTGCCGATCTACTTCGGCAACGTCTGCCTGCGCTTCCTGCCCGTCTTCGACATTGTCATCCACCGCTTCCTGGAGCTACTCCCCGTCTCCAAGTCTCTGGAGACGCTACTGGATCACCTGGGGGGACTGTACAAGTTCCACGGTGAGGAAGACCATCGGTCGGCGGGGGGCAAACGTCATTAAGCGCCAAAGTTTTTAATCTGCGAGTGTCTTCTGTTCTCAGACCGGCCCGTGACGTACCTGTACAACACCCTTCACTACTACGAACGGCATCTCAGAGACCGAACCAACCTGAAGAGGAAGCTGGTTCACGCCATCATGTCTTCACTGAAGGCAGGCAGAGAGAACCGAGCAGAGCTGCCGTTGGATATGAGCGGCGGCGTTAACCCTGAAGCTTTTGTTCTGCAGGACAACCGAACCCCAGGATGGTGTCTGAGTGAGACCTACTTGAAGTTTGGCATGAACCCCAGGGAGGACAATGTCTGGATCCCCGACGACACC